CTGCTCAGGTCCCTTCCGACCCTAGAAACTATGAAACATCAATGAAGAAAGAACATCCTTACAGACTTGGAAAACCTGGATCAACTCCTGAATCAACCACAGCTTTCCTGTGTAACCATAGGCAAGTTGCTTTCTCCACACTGTACTTCAGTTTTCCACAGGTAAAAGAGTAATAATTTTTTTTTGTTATTATTTATTTGTATTTATAAAACAGTAACACCAGGAAGCAACAATCTAAACACTGAGACAGAAACAGAACCATACAACATTAGAGCTGGAAGGGAGCTCAGGAGATCATCTAATCTAAGTGCCTGCTTAAGGCAGATCCCCATCTAAACCATCTTAGTTTATCTAACCTACTTTCCAAAAATGGAGACTCCACAACCTCTAGGTAGCCTATTTCAATGTTTTATTGCCCTCATAGTAGGAAAATCCTCCATAATACCTAATCTAAATTTCTCTTGCTGCAATTTAAATGATGGTCACATACTACAGTGATGAGGGCTACGCAAGTAGATATAGACGGCAGAGGAGGTGCTAATTCTACACTTTGAGACTAGAACAGTTCTTTAAATTCACCTAAACTGTGAGTTTTTTATGCATTAATTTTTCAAAGGTCCTAAATGCATATGACTTAACCTTTTGCATATCAAAGCCTTGTAAAATGAATTCAACTTGTTCCTACCTGGTCATCGAGCACTGTTAAATTATAAATTAGCACTGCTTTCCCAGGAGGAAATGTGATATTGCCCTTAGCTGGACTCAAGTCCTCTTCAGCTGCGTTTGGACCATTTCCTATCTGCAAAGAATTAATTTTTGTGATCAGTGATTATGTAGTACATATTCAAGGCTTGTAAATAACTGCAGGTTACCAGGAATAGAAATATAATATGGTTAGGTAATTGTCCAAATAAACCATGTGGCATACAGAAAGCTTCTCTGAATAACAGTGGTTTCCTATCTCAGACCTCTTCATACCCATTATGGCAAAGAAAACTTTGATTTCAGAAGCCATGTTGCCAGGTGTGTAACAAGATGGTTACTGGGGGAAATCTGCTTACTTTGGATGGCTAATGAAACTCAATGTAATCAGGAAGAGGAGATGTATGTATGGGCAAATAAGTGGAGGTCATGTACTTCAACATAGGCCCGGGAAGGCTCATTTGTTTGTGCTAATGTATAGCTATTACTGTCGAATAACTAAGAGAATATTGACTATAAAGCATTACATTGAATTAGTTACATAGGATTAAGTTCTGAGAAGGAATTCTAGTGGGAACTGATTGTGGCATTTTACTTGTGACAGGTTACTTTTATTCAATTATTGTAAATTTGCAAATAAAAGCTAAACAAATTACAAGCTGCTTAAGGGTGACACAAGAATTTTTACATACAGAATGCAGTGGCTTATATCTCAGTGGATACAAATGCTATATACAGTAAGACAGAATTGATTGGTTCTGCAGCAGGAAGTTTATACTTAGCATCAAATAAATTTATGGTAATTTATTGCACACTTGTTTATATCTCAATAGATGCATATACTGTGAGACAGCTGACTGATTCTACAGAGGAAAAAAATTGACTTCAAAACAAACTGGCATGCAGTAAATTGCACATGTACTGTCTTTGCATATTAAATATAGCATACAAAATAATATTAGCTCTTTTATTGTCTGATCTAAAGACCTTTAGATTTCAGTGGGTACCAGAGCAGACTGTTGATGATTACTCTTTCCCAACAGTGAGAAAAAATGAAGTTGAGATAAGATGTATGAGAGAATTTTGCTTCATCTGAGTACAGAAATAAAGTTGCAAATATGTAATTGAATCTGAGCTAGATAAGAAAAAATATCAAATAAGAAATGCAGTATTTGTATCGCATTCAAATCAAACGTGATACAGTATGGTCTAGATTTTCTTAAGAGTTATCAATTACTTTGAGTGGCTCATTTTTTGAGAAAGCAGCATAGAAATGATATCAGACTTCCATAAAATGCTAAGTCAGTATATTATAACATTCAAAACTTAAAACAAATGTCAAAGTTTTGGCATAATGTTTATATGTCAGTATCAATTTAAAACCTTTTTGTCCCTCTTTCAAAGAAGCACACCCTCTTGTTTTTTTTAACCTTCTTGAAATTCTTAGTATCTGTTGCTCCATGGTATATTTTCCAGAGATTCAAGCTAAAATAATCTTTAGTATGTCCCTAACCTTTTCAATTAGAAACTTCTCATTAACAATACAGTATAACTATTGACCAAGATAAAACATACACATCATCAAGAATCTCTGCTCTTTTCTAGCATCTCCCAACAATTGCTTCTCAAAATATAACTGGCCTGTCTAACGGCAGCATTTTTCATCGGATGAACAATGGGTTTCTGTTTTATAGAAGAGATTTAACAAAACTTAGACATCAGTAGTTAGCTCTTTCATTTCCATTTAGCAGATCTATGATTCTACCCTTCAATCCCAAGAAAACATGTTAAGGTGTGAAATTGTTTCAATAAACTTACCTCAAAAGTCACAGTCACAGTCCCATAGGTTCCCTTCTCCCTAATTAGAGTGAGAGGCACAGATTCATTTCTACCCCTAGGCTCATTCACTGTGATTAAGGCAGACTAATGAGGAAGAGAAAGGACAGGCAATCAGGCACTGATCAAATATCTCAGCAGAGTGAAAAAACTGTTACCATAGAAATACCAAACTCCCACAGACAAGTTAATCCAATCTGTAAACTTGTCGACTGATGGTATTATATTTCCTAGCAACCAATTAGTTCTGCTAATAAAAAGCTTGAAAGACTTCAGATAAAAATATTAGCAGTGGTTACTTGAGTGCTTTTTTTGCTATAAACAAACATGACTAATATACACAAACCTACTAGCTTTTTATCATTAATATTTATAGAAGTTCCTAAACCAATTTAAAACAGTTTTTCCCCGTTGTAAAATAATTTACTAGGTTGTTAGATGCAAATAGATTTTAAGAATTGCAGGATAATAATTGAGACCAAGGGTGGCCAAAGGGTACATAGGAAGGCCCTAGCAGGTATGCACAGGTGAACAGGGATGAAGCACCAACACCCTGAGCCACTGCCCCCCATGGAGCAGGACCTGGTGGGGGGAAGGGAGAGGGACAGGGAGGTCAGCATCACCCCCTGCAGGCCAAACAGGTGTCCCCCAGACAGCCAGACGCTTGGGGGGGGACAAGGGGGGCATGCAACGGCCACTGACATCACCCACCACCCCGCGCTGCCACCACCCCCCACCCTCCATATCTGACTGCTGGAGATACACTTATTAAAAAAGTTTTAAAACCCTGATTTAGGCCATTGTAATAGGTCATCCAATTGTATTTTTTTTTTATAAAAGTGATTTTAAAAACTAACCTTAGCTATAAAGATAGTTTATAAATATTGCTCAATCAATAAAATTTAATTCATCCAGAAAGCAAGTCTGGCTGAATGGTGTTTTCTGACTCCTAACATTTTAAGACACTTGTGATATGTTGCAAAAAATGTAACCACAAATGGTTACACAATGTAACCACAAATGTAACACAATAGTGTTGTGGAATGGATAGTTCAGTCTCATCTACCTCCAAAAATTAGCTGAGCTTTCTTAGCACAGTGGGGAGAAGCACATAGGGCAAGTTTAACAAGCGGTAGAGCAGCCCCGGAAAGCTACCAGGAATTTTGAGTCAACTAGAAATTTTTCAGGGGCTCCACAGGCAACATGTGGGAATCAGGGTGTGTGTATGTTATCTAAAACACTGCAAAGGTCATTCACGAGCACTTTATTGCAAAAGTACTGTATTTACTTGAATCTATAATGACTGAATTTAAGATGAGCCCCCGATAATTAGATTCTATACATGGAAAAATGTATATGTTTGCTCTAATTTTCCACATATAGAACCTAATTATTGGAAGTCCTTTAATTCATCTCTCCCATCTCTGCAAGGAAGCACGTGGTGTGGAAAAGCTAAGCAGCTTGTGGCAACCCTGCTTGTGTCTCCCTCTCCCCAGCCTTAGGCACTCCCTTCCCTCTTCCTCTTCCTGTCCTTCCCCCCAGACTCTGTTTTCCCCCTCCCTCTTCAACCTCTGCTTCCCTCCTTCCCCTCACTCTGGGCCAGCAGGCTCCATCCCCATTCTAGCCTGGGACACTGAGTACAGCCCCAACTCCACCCCCACAGCAGCTGTGTAGGATGTGCATCACTGCTACAGGGCTGGGCTGGGGCTGTGCTCCATGCCCGGGTCTTCAGTATGCACAAAGCAAAGGTAAGAAGGGAGGAGAGAGGCAGGCAGGGAAGCAGGGGCTGAGCAGGAGGGGAGATGGGAAGGAAAGTGGGAAGGTGCAGAGACAGTAGCTGCAGGTATGGTCCCAATCCTAGGTAGGGGCTGGAGGCTGAGCCACAGCAGGCACCTACCTCCCCCTCACCCTCATACTCAATTCTAAGATGAAGGGCTTCCCACCCATGTTAAATAGGAAAAATACCCTCATCTTATAAATCAAATAAATACAGTATATGCAATCCATAATAGGTTGGTACTTCTCTGAGATTCTGAGGTGTAAGTACACAAATACTTGGGACAAACAGGTGAGGATTACTGTATTTTTAGATATCGACAGTATTTCTTGGCCAACTGCACTGATGGTATGAATAAGTGTATCTTCTTTTAAAGTCAGAGTACTCTTCCCTTAAATTTCACTAACAGTGAATATGAATCTCAAAATGGACATGACTATACTCCAAGTCCTGTTAATTGCTTTGGAGGAGACAAGATCCTGTGCCATAATCTCTGAAGTTAATGGGTGTGTATATGGGTGTGTACAGCAATTCACCACACCCAGTCTAAAAATTCACAGAGTTTACATTAAACTGTGTGAATGCACTCATTCTCTGTTCCCACAACCCACAAGGTGAAACTGGTGTAAATAACCTAGGGAAAGGGGAGGCGTGGAATGAATCTGGGGCGATGGAGATGCTAGTGGGTCCACAGAGGGGTTGCTGGGTCTGCGGGGAGGGCAAAAATCAAGAAATTAAAAATAGCCCAGTCAGAGTTAAGGGGGTAGGATCTCAAAACTATGTTTGTGCCCCTACTCAGGTGAACTAACTTAGATCAGGTGCACCATTTCAGGGGTGATTTAAGCCCTATGCACACCTGTACCATTGGGCATTTCAATATACCTAACTCTGGTTAATTTGATCTAAAGGTAAGGCCTGTACTTACCTAATGTGAACTTTGTCGTTGATGGGAGCAGAATTAGTTCCTGAGCTACCTTTACATAGACTGAAGCCTCCCATCTCACTTGCAAAACAGTGGGAGCTCTATAACTTGCAATAAAAGTAATTCTGCTATAGGTAATATTCTACATTTTTGGAATATTTTGTGTCAAGTTCTTGTCTTACATCACCCTGGACTGCAAGCATGCTGTACTTTTAGGAGGAGTGCTATAGAATATCACATAGGCTCTCTGAATAGGACCTAGAGAGAGCATGCCTAAAAGCATGTGATGGCATTAAAGAGAGGCAAGGACCTTTGGGGGTGGTATCTTCCTTTATGTTATGGACCATCACATCTACAGCATCATTCCAACACTACCAATACCATTGAAGTCCTATATATTTATGAATTCTGGTTACATATTTAGGAAGAGACTTTCAAAGACACAAATGGCATTTAGGTACCCAAATGAAAGATTGCACTGGAATCAAACACAGAGCTATGTACTATGGGGTTTGATAATCTGCCCTCTATAAAATGATAAAAGATTAGAACATAAAAACATACCATATTGAAAGAAATAATTCCGAAGGCATTGTCATTTGATAAGATTGTTACAGTGACAGATCTGGGGTATCCAAGCTTTAACTTTGAAGATGGTTTCTAAAATTAACAACACATATGGTAAGTGAACCAGGCAAGCAATGGTAACGTGAAGTTTAGTGAAACTAAGACCTTGTTTTTTTAAGTAAACACATTTTTATTCAAATTGTAAAATAATCCATTTTTTGCTTCATGTTCCAAAGAAAAGGTATTCAAATCAATGGAATGCACCCAAATCGCTCTTACTCTTCATGGAAACATCTTCTATAGAGTCTCAATCTGATTAAACAAAGTGCTTGAAAAAGACATTGAACATCATTAATCATAGTTTGACAATCTATTAATGACACCATAGCAATAAGGAATGTGGTATGAAGCATGCAGCTCTGCTAGAAACTAAAAGGTTTTTCATTTTTATATTTGGGATATTTAGAATAATAGTTGGAGCTGAAACTTTGGAACCAAATTTCAAAAATCTTGCAGTTCATGGACCAAGCAAACTATTTATACAAGTATAAAAAGACACGTAAGTTTAATATGTTAAAGTCATAAACTTAAATCTAATGATAGAAGAGGGGAAGAAAGATGGGGAAAATGAGTGTTTCTATTTACCACCAATCTATTGTGAAATTATGAAACTCAGGGATAAGATGAGGATACATTTTTACTGAAGACTTCCAACTGTACCACAGATTGCTAACTCTAAAAAAAAAAAAAAAAAAAAAAAAAAA